TATATATATAATATTAATGTTTGTATTTATTAAAAATAGTATGGTTTTCGTGAAAAAAAATATTTAGTTTCTAAATAAAGATTTTTTTTAAAACATTCATTTATACTTTTCTTTTATTTTTTTTTAATCTTTTTAGTAATTTTTTCTTTACAATCTGTGGTGAGATTTATATTTTTATTTGAATTAACATGATATCAATAATTAATCATAATCTATTATTAAAATTTTCAAAAATTTTCAAACAATTATTTTATTTATACTTATTCTATATTATTTTGGTGATGTGATATCAATAATTTGATATTAAAATTTTGAGAACTTTACAAATTGTTATTCAGTGTTCTCCTAACTTTGAATTTCATTTAATTTGAAAAATATAAATTAACAGTTGCGTGGTTATTGATTAATCACTCAAGAATATTTATTAATAAAAACATGTATAAATTTTTTATTTTTTATTTTGAAACCCATAGATGAAGAAAACTTCTAACTATGATTTTTTTTCTATTTAATTTTTATTGTTGTCTCTCTCTCTCTTTTTTTATTTTCTATTTTTACTATTAAGTATTAATGTCATTTTTTGGTGAATGAATCTCATTTTTTGGTGAATCAAAATAGCAGTGATTGTATGCACGTGCATGTTTCTATCTTGCGTGTTAAGAATACGTAGTAATTAACCGAGGTTTAATTTGATTACTCGATCAGTATAATGCAAACGTATCCTCTTAATTTGGGATCCTTTCAATACATATAGTGTACTAGTGCAACCAATCAGTTAAGACAGACTATACAATTGGCACTACAACTACTTACGGTGGGTTGTTCAATTTCATCGAGGTCATCAACCAAATATTCATGTTTTACAAGTAAGCAATAATACGACCTTCTATTCACCCGCGATGAACTGTATTATCTAAATGTTAAATATCAGAACATAAAATTGTTTAATTAAATATGATTCTCATTCAAACGGGAAGTGTGTCAACAAAAAGTCGAGCTTTCAATATACACAGACCTCAACAATTTCTTCCTATTATCCCACAACCAATTGTACTGCAGATTAGAGGTACCCTCAATGAGATTTAAAGTCATTTGTTTTGTTTTATATGTCTGATGTTAAGAAACATTAACTCCGCTATCTTTCACAATCCATTTTCTCCATTGTTTAACTTTTCTACCGGGCTCACTTTTAGAGCATCTCCAATGGGCTTTCAATTGTAGAAATGTGGAAGAATTTCAATAAAAAAACGTCTCCAACCCTCAATGTCTAGATGCTAATCATAATTACGTGGCTGGAGAGAGAAGGAAAAAAAATCTAGCACTCTTTCTACATTTAAAATTCTTTCTGGACGTGCTGAGTCAGATTATTCCTCCCACTAACTTCTTTTTTTAATTAAAAACAACAAATTTGTTGAGAAAAAAAATGTTAGTTTTCTTTTTTTAATATAAAAATATATAGATGGCGTGAAGATAGATATAACAACTGGAGAAATTTTTGTGACATTGAACTCCTACTTATTCCACATGGATGGAAGACCTCTATTTAATTGCCACATACCCTCCAATTCACATTCATGGTTGAAGATGCTCTTAAAGTCATCAATGTATTTATCAATCAACCAAAATGATTTAATATTTTTTTACATAAAAACTAAGAGCTAATGTGATTTTTGCATTCGTTTCCTTATTTGTGTAAGAAGTTGAGTCCTTCACTTGAACAAGTGGTTCTGAACATCACTATTTTTTATAGTGTATGGCTTGGATTCAACAAATCACGACAACCTAGAGTTCTTTTGTGTCAAATTTGACAATTTTTAATTTGTGATTAGAGTTCTTACTTTCGTTTGAAATTATGATCAGAAATTTGGACTTTCCCTTCAAATATGTGCGCATTCTTACCTACGCATGAACGCCATACCCTATATCGCACATCCTAGAGGTGGCAAGGGTCGACTCGGCCTGGACGTAAAGGTCATGAAACCAGACCCGTGACAAAACCGAGCCAATTCTGAATCTTATTAGTTTTTCTTTTTTCACCCGCCGGTTTTGGGCCGGGTCGTGAATCGCCCAGGCTGATTGCCATATGTCTACCACAGCCCACAGGGGGTGGGGACAGACAATAAGCTTTGTTGGTTGTACCAAAAAAACATAAAAATAAATATAAAGCTACTTCATAAACTAATTCAAAAAATAGTCAACGTTTGAATAATGTTACATTTTGAGATTCCTTCCCCATTAAAAACGACAAATTAAATAGGTAAAACATCGCAGGCCTAGTTGCTATAGTGTGCCTTTTAGCTTAAAACAACGGACCACATATATACGTATAACAAATTTTGATAATCTCACAGCTAACTATCCTCATATCTCTTATATACCTTTAACTATAACTAGCACATGTGTCTATAAGCAGCCAATTAGGGTCGAGAACCGGGTCCGGCTCGCGGGGCTGGAGGCCCGGGCCTTGGGTTTCTCCCAAGATCATCATTCTCCCTTCTTACAAACCCCATACAAATTTTATCTCATCCGGAACCCAATAACCGAGCCATCTGCAGACGGTCTCCGTCACGGAATGTGATGCCGAACGCTTGAGTGAAGCACTTGTGAACAATCGTATCCGACTCCGACTTGCCATTGTACGAGAGTAGTGGTTATTTGTGTATTCTGCATGATCACCATGTTTAATAAAAAAAAAAAATAGATGATCAATGAAAAAGGAAATTAAAAAAGGAAAAAAAAAAACTCAAATTATGGGGGAAATCAAAATTCCAAACTTCAAGTTCTTTCATGCAGATGAAACCCTAATGTTATTTTCTCTCTCTCTATATATAGAGAGAGAGAGATTATTTCTTTGGGAGATTCTACGGTCCAGTTACGAAACCATTCTGTCGGGGTTTGTAACCGTTCGATCAACTATCCATGACGGTTACATGATGATCTGACGGTTACAAATCCCGATGGAATGATTACGTAACGGGACTATAACATTTCCCTCTTTCTTGATGCACAATAAAAATAAGATAAAGATGTGTAGTTTTATTAACTACCTTGAGGCAAAATTCGTGGTTGAACTAATCCAGCGAGCGTGAGGAGTGTTAGAAGTAGTATGGCCGATTTAATGGCAGGCTTCATTTTTGCTGACAGGCTTTAG